TGTCCTTCTTTATCCCTTTTGATTAACTTTGGCTTGAAGTCAATTTTATTTGATATGAGTATGGACACCCCTGCTTTCTTCCGAGGTCCATGTGAGTGGTATGATTTTTCCCAACCTTTCACCTTCAGCCTGTGTATGTCTTTTCTCATCAGATAAGTCTCCTAAAGGCAGCATATTGTTGAATCTGTTTTTTTTAATCCAGTCTACTATCCTATGTCTCTTGACTGGTGAGTTTAAGCCATTAACATTGATATATGGTTTGTACTTCCAGCCATATTTGTTTATTTTTGTTATTTAACTTGATTTGTTTTTCCTCTTCGATTAGTTTTTCCCTTTACTGTGCTACCTCCCACTGTTGATTTTCATTGTTGTTTTTCATCTCCTCTTCATGTAGTGTTTTGCCCAAAATGCTTTGCAGTGCTGGTTTTCTAGCTGCGAATTCTTTTAACTTTTGTTTATCATGGAAGATTTTTATTTCATTGTCAAACCTGAAGCTTAATTATGCTGGATACAAGATTCTTGGTTGGAACCCATTATCTTTCAGCGTTTGAAATACATTGTTCCAAGGTCTCCCAGCTTTTAGCATCTGTGTTGAAAAATCAACCATTAACCTAATTGGTTTACCCCTAAATGTAATCTGCCTCCTTTCTCTTGTGGCTTTTAAAATTCTCTCCTTGTTCTGTATGTTGGACATTTTCATTATAATTTGTCTTGGTGTGGGTCTCTTGTGGTTTTGTACATTCGGCATCCTGTAGGCTTCTAGGATTTGGATTTCTGTTTCATTCTTCATGCCTGGAAAGTTTTCTAAAATTATTTCATTGAACAGATTGCTCATTCCTTTGGTTTGGACCTCTATACTTTGCTCTATCCCAATGACTCTTAAGTTTGGTTTTTTAATGTTATCCCAAATCTCTTGGATGTTCTGCTCGTGGTTTCTTACTAGCCTTTCTGAGTTGACTAGACTCTTTTCTAGATGATATATTTTGTCTTCATTGTCTGATGTTCTGACTTCTAATTGGTCTACTCTACTGGTGATACTCTCATTTGAATTTTTAATTTGGTTTATAATTTCCTGGATTTCTGTTTGATTTTTTTGTATAACCTCTATCTCCCTGTAGAGTTGCTCTTTTGCTTCGTGGATTTGTTTATGTAATTCAAAGTGATCTTTCATTGTCTGCATTTGCTGTCTAAGGTCTTCCTTAAGACTCCATAACATCTGAGCATATATATATATATATATCTTGAAATCTTTATCTGACAATCTCTCTGCTGTGGCTACAAACTCCTGTATTGTTGAGTTGTCCTACATTGTTTGTGTTCCTTTTTTTCCTTGTCTTTTCATGATGCTCATGTTTCTTTCCAGCTCTGTGTGACTGCTGTGTTATTATTTTCTCCTATAAATTTGTTTTGCTTTTGTATAGCTCCGAGATCTCTCCTTTGTGATGGGAGACAATGTCTAGAGATGTTGGGTTCAATTGTAATTTAAAGTAAATTCATTAGTTTTTTTTAAAGTAATTCATTAGTAATTCTTAGTTTCCTAAGAGGCATACAGATTCTGATGGCATATAGAGAACTGAGGTTTGGTTGTAGGACTTTATGTTTAGGGGGAAAGATGTGAGGATCTGGGGGTTAGTATATCTTAGCTACTTTTGAGGAGAGCTCTAATGAAGGGAGACATTAACAGGAGAATAGACAGGAGTATTTGGGGGTAGCTAAGTACTTAGGAGGACTATAAAAAGCCTAGAAACATTCACCTATTTGCATTTAGTAAATTACACATAATAGAAGTAGTAATGCTTGGGAGATTGGGAGGGGAAGAGAAGGAGAAAGAAAAGTACAAGGAAAAGAAGAAGAAAGAAAGAAAGGAAAAAAAGAAAGAGAAAAAATGCACTTTTAGAGTTCTGTTTTCTTCTCTTCCAGTAGGTAGCATTGTGCTTTCCAGGCTAAGTCTCTGCCCTCAGGATGTAGGAAGCAATCCATGTGAGGTGGCTCTCCCTCCCCTGCTGGGTGACTCTCCAATCCCGATCACTTTGGGTTGCTCCCAGTCTCTAGCCCCCTCACTTCTCCTGCCCACCAGGCCCCACTTACTGGGGCTCCTGTCCACAGCTCTAGCTTCACTCTGGGCATGCACTGCCCTGGCCGCCCTGCCCTCTTGAATAACTGAGCGCTCTGTATTTTTGTTAGTTACCCAGTCATCATGACTATGGAAAGAGGGAGTTGGAAACTGGCAACCTGTTCTGTCTGATTCCCTCTAATAGCCACACCCACTGAGAGCTGGCGAGAAAGGTTTCGGTTTTTGTTGCTGGCGGGAAGGGGGGTGGGGAGTTGGAGGTCAGGTGCCTTTTCAGTTTCCCTCAGCTCTGATATTCATGCCCACAGAGAGCTGGCGAGAAAGTTTTTGAGTTATCCCAGCTGGGTGGAGGGGGGGCTGGGGGTCACACACCTGATCTGTCGCCAAACTCTCTGCCATGAGATCCACCCAAAGCTGCTGAAGTCGATTCTCCAAGATGGTGACCGCCCCTTTCCACACCAGGGTGTCTGGTGAGGAGGATGGACGTGGGCCGTTTCTCCACTAAGTCCCCCCTTCAGTTCTCTGTCTGGTACCCTGTGGAGGCGCGGGTGGCAGATCTCCACAGGATCTGAAACTCTGCTTCTCTATGCTGCCAGAACTCCATAGCGCTCAATTTCGCCCGCTGCAGCGTGCTGTTGTCCCGCTGGTCCTGAGTTGGGAGTTTTAAGAGAAATAATCTTACAAATTGAATTGAGATACTACTACTAATAGTCTACTCCCAATAGGATAATTTTGATCTTATATATGGCAGAATTGATTGTTCTAGAAACCCATTTCAAGCTAACTTAAGCAATAAAGGGGGGGGTTATTGGAAGGACACTTAGGTGTCTCATAGAACCCAAGGAGAAGAAGTGAACTGGGTCTCATAGGACCTGGAAAATCCTCAGGAACTCAGTTTCTCTTTCTAGTCACAATCTTTAGGAAAGGGAAAATGGCTCATGGGTTGAGTAGATAAATCACAGTATGTACAATATACTACAGGTGAATTTTAAGTGATAAGAAATGAATTCTGAATTGTGATTGGACTATGAGCATCTGAAATGTGAAAAATGGGTATTCACAGGGAGGGAATCATGGAGGGAATATGTTGCCATAGTGTAAGAAGGGTCTTTTTCAAATAGAAATGGAGGCTCTGGAAGACGGTGGCAGGTCAAAGGTTGTGAGAGATTGGGGTCCGTGGGGAGCATAGGAGAGTTTCTCATTGTGAGGAGGAAGGAAAGAGGGTTTTGTGGTGAACGGTGTGAACTTCACAAGAGGGTCACTAACAGATGGCTGCTGGGGGAGCAGGAAGGGTTGTGACCGCTTATGTTCCCAGGATTCTTGAGTATTGGGAGATGTGGGCGTGAACAGAGAGGCATCAGAGAAAAACTAGACTTTACAGTAGAAGTTTCCAAATCTTGGCTGCACTTAGCCAACTTACCAGGTGACTGACATGGTACATGCCCTCCAGAAAGCCTGGCATGCTCACAGCATGCCAAATGCAGATAACAAGGAGGGTAATTTATGACAACCTCAGCACTTTGAACTCCACAAGTTGAAAGTTTGTGTTTATCAAGAATAGTCATGTAAGCTTTCAAAACTCTTTACATCAGTTAAATTGGTTATTGTTATTATGCAACTTATAGAGGAAATAATGGTGGAATAGCAATATAAACTTACAGGTATTCTTTTTATTAAAGTCAAATTGAATACTTTATGACCATATAAACAGCAACCATTAAAAAAATCGCTGTCAAATTATGGACTAGCAGTAGGCAAGATAACTGTTAAAAGGTTTGGGGAAAACTGCAAAAGGTCTAGACAGATGCTGCCTTTGGTGTTTTTCCCCACAACAACCTCTAGGTTTTAGCTCCATTTTAAATAAATGTAAACACACCTGGATGTGGTTTATGTAGGGAAGAACTAAGGGAGCTTGTTATGGACCCATACTCAAAGAAAATACTTTGGCCCTATAGAAAAGAATTCATGAATGACTCTACATTTAGGATGTCAGAGTTAAAACAAATATTTAAGGTACATCTGAATACTTTCAGATTCCCACTTCCGTTACCTATTTTGAATGACTATTTCAATATGCAGAAATGGAGCATTTATGCAAAAAGGTATAGATTCAAGGAGTTTTGCTCACTATAGGGCAGGAAGTTCGGGGAATAGTAAGCCTAGATGAGCAGGATTGCTCAGGGCTGGGAGAGTAGGCATGGACATGCAAAGATGGAATAGTTGAGATGTGTACCCGGGCAGCACTTGCCAGGGTGAGAATGAGGAGGGCCAAATCCTGGGACCCAGGCTGGGAAAGGATTAGTTCTGAAGGGAGCATACCCATGGGGCACATTAAGGGTGCTCAGCCTGTGGTGAAGGCTTCAAATAAACCCTGTTTCAGGATAACCCAATGGAAACTTCATGATTAAACCTGAAGGGGAATTCCAAACTCCCCCTCTTGGCTCCTGAATCTGGACAACAAACATATCTATTTCACCTGTGCAACATTACCTGTATTCCACCTCAACACAAAGCTCTGCATCTTTGCCAAGATGGCTTACTCACTTTCCACTGAAAAATACTCCCACACTTCAAGATATTCTCTCTCTCTTCTGTACGATCCATTGCTTTCTCATTGATTTTTCACATCACAATTAGGTTGGGGGTGATTTTAGTATTTAGCTGTCATCTTCTGCATGGCTGAGCGTTAGGGAATGCTTGCAAAGTGAATGAAGGTAACATTGTACCTTCTAAGATAGCTGGAAGAAACCCTGGGTGCAGAAACCATAGTGAACCAGATACCTGCGTCTGAGTGAGAGAGGTGAGAGGAGGAGCCCTTTCAACCCACACACAATAGGGGCTTTCCTCTAGGTGTGGTGCCTTGGGAGCTGGGTCTCAGATCCTCTTAAGTGCTGATTTTCTTCCAGGTTCCTGTCCTGGTTCAGGCAAGATGGGCAAGTATGTGATCCGCGTCGCCACCGGGGACTCGCTCTTGGCGGGCTCCACCAACCTGGTGCAGCTGTGGCTAGTTGGCGAGCACGGGGAGGCGGACCTGGGGAAGCTGCTATGGCCATTGCGGGAAAAGGTGAGTGCAGAGCCTGGGAGCCAGGGTGAGGAGGAGCAGTCCGCACCTTCTGGAGCCTCTAGGCCAGAAGCTGGGGGGGAATGAGATGGTGCAGGATTGGGTGCCTGATAGAAAAAAAGGAAAGTGAGAAGAGAGAAAATCGAGTAGTATCTCTCTGCTTGGGTGGAAGGAGTAGGGAAGATGCGACTAGAGGCTGGAGGCTGGAGCCCCGCAGAGCTAGCTGTTCCTCCTCACGGCTGCCTGCTTCAGGTCTCTCCCTGGGTGTCCCCGGAGGGACAAACAGAGCCAAGTTTCTTCGAAAGCATCCAGACTCCACTGTCCTCGCTAAGGACCTCATACCTGACTCTGCGAAATGTTCTGTTCCACAGAAAACGGAGTTGGAGATCGATGTCTCCTTTTACCTGGGGCGCCTCCTGCTGGTGAAGCTGCACAAGCACAAAAGCCTGTTGAATTTTGACTGGTTCTGCAAGTGGATCACGGTGCAGGGCCTGGGGAACCAAGGAGAGGTCCTTTTCCCTTGCTACAGCTGGATCCAGGACGACAGGATTCTCTGTCTACCCGAAGGCACGGGTGAGGGCTCTGGGTAAAGGGTGTGACTCCTTCAGGAAGCGGGGGTCGGGATAGGGGATGCTATGATATAAAAGGGAAAGAGGAGAAAGATGCAGAGGTAAGAAATGCAAGAATGGGATTCAGGAAGAGAACTGATGGAAAGGCCCTGCCGTGGGGCTGAGTGTGAGAGGGAGTTCCAGGGAGGACGCCTGTCTTTTGTTTCCCCCTTACCCAGCCCGGTCCGTGAGTGATGACCCTCAGAACCTGTTTAAGAAATATAGGGAACAGGACCTGTAGGACAGAAGGAAGGCTTATCGGTGAGTCCCAGAAAGCTTCTGATCCCTACTACCTCTTGCTCCACCTACTCCCGACTCTATGTTCTTCCTCCAGGTGGGGCTCCTGGAAGGATGGGTTAATCCTGCCTGTAGCAGGGAAGACGCAGAGGGACCTTCCCAGAAATGAACGATTTCTAGAGGATAAGGATTTGGATTTCACCCTCTCTCTAACAAAAGAGTGAGTGCCAGGTCTGGGTGGTGGCCCACACCTGTAATCCAATTACTCCAAAGACTGAGGCAGGAGAACCACAAGTGTGAGGCCAGCCTCAGCAACTGAGCAAGACCCTGTCTCAAAAAAATAAAAAGGTTTGGGATGTAGCTCAGTGGTAAAGCACCATGAATTCAATCCCCCGGTATCTCAAAAGAGAGTGCTGGATTGAGGTTGGGCACTTTCTTCCCAGGCTGTAAGGTGAGTTTGTTCTTATTCTTCTTGCATGTCATTCTTTACACAGGTTGAAGAACTTGGCCATTAAGGGGATATTGGATCTTGCAAATTGCGTACATAGACTGGAAGATTACAAAAAAAATATTCCCACGTGGAAAGACTGCCCTGGCGGGTCAGTTACCACAACCTGCTAAAACCTGTATATATATTTCCAGCTCAGGGATCTGACAAAAGAGGGGTGATAGAGGGTAGAAAACTGATGTCAGTGCAATGAGGAGCTCACAACATGTCCCCAACTGACGTCCTCAGTGCGGGTCTATGATTCCTGGAAGGATGATGACCTCTTTGGATACCAGTTCCTCAATGGTGCAAACCCCATGCTCCTGAGGCATTCTACGAGTCTCCCAGCCAGGCTGGTGCTGCCTCCAGGAATGGAAGAGTTACCTACTCAACTGAACAAAGAGCTCCAGGTACTGTGCTTTTCACCACCCCAGCCATCCCCCTACCATTTTGCCTCCCATTCCTGCCATCTCTTCCTCCCCTTATCTCTTTCATGTTCACCTCCATTATCTCTTTCATGTATACTTAGAATTTCTCAACTTTGACACGATTAACATTATAAGCCAGATAATTCTTTGCTGTAGAGGACTGTCCTGTGCATTTTTGGATTCTAGTAGAAACCCTTGACTTTTACCTTCTAGAGGCCAGAAGCACCCTCTGCCCTGGTAGTTATGACAACTGAAAGCATCCCTAGACATTGTCAAATGTTCTGAGGGGAGGGGGGCATCACTCCTGCTTGAGAACCATGATCTGTATAATCTCCTCCTGTGTCTCCTTTTCTTTCCTCTCTTCCATGTCCACCTTCCTGGTTTCCTACTTCATTAGATGGACCTGAGCCTCAGTCTCAGGGAGGAGCTTGATCTAAAGAGAAACAGCAAAAAGACTGACCAAAGCCTTGAAGAACTAGACTTGCATTTTAAAAGAGGGGATAAAGGAAATATTTTGTGCCACATTTGACTAAAGCCAGCAAGCAGGAAGACAATGGTTGAGAGTGTGGCACATGGTGGAGAGTCAATTCAGGGGATTTGGAGTCTGGTGGAAGACACTGGTCATGAAAACTTTCATTTGGGCCTTTGGTTCTGGGGAAAGTGATCGGTGCTTAAAGCAAAAGCCTGGATGGATAGAGGAAGGATCCACCTTGGGAAATGAGAGAAGGGCAGGTTCAGAATGACTCCAACCCCTTTCTGTGTCCTTGACATTGACCCTACAGGCTGGATCTCTGTTTGAAGCTGATTATACCCTGCTGGATGGGGTCAAGCCTAACATCATCATTTTTAAGCAACAATATGTGGCAGCCCCTTTGGTTATGCTGAAGCTACAACCTGATGGAAGACTCTTACCCATGGTTATCCAGGTAAGAGGACCCAGGTGTCTTTCTCCTAGACATTGATCCATTTAGAATTGATCCATTTAGGGACTTAGATACATAGTTCTTAGCTCCCATTCTCCCTCCTTCTCTAGCTCCAGCCACCTCGACATGGATGCCCCTCACCTCTGCTCTTCCTGCCTTCGGATCCTCCCATGGCCTGGCTCCTAGCCAAGACATGGGTCCGTAGCTCTGATTTCCAGCTGCACCAGTTACAGTCACATCTGTTAAGGGGACATCTGATGGCTGAGGTTATTTCTGTGGCCACAATGAGGAGCCTGCCCAGTCTGCATCCTATCTACAAGGTATTTCAGCATCTGTGTCATTCTGCATTTGATCGTTGTTCGTAATTCACAATCCTAGCCTTTGAGGCCCAGGGTTTAACCTTGTAGCATGTTATATTAGAAGCAATCTTAGTTTATACGCGCAAGCGCGCGCACACACACACACACAGTCTGCTATGGAAATACCCAGGACACACACTTGCTATAAGGTGGGGAAGGTAAGAATAGGTTTTACAAAGGAGTTTACATTTGGACTGAGGAGGTTGTCAAGGGTAGAAAGGGATGGGGACATTCAAGTCTGATCTGTAAAGGAGAGGAATGAAAGGAGCATGGGTTGTGAATGATTGGAGTGTTGTGTAATAGAACAAGTAAGTGAGAAAAAATAAGCAAGGAAGCCATGTTACTTGATGGGGAGAAGAAGCAAGGGCTCTGTTTTGACCCTGCAAGGTTTCCAATCCCGGTATCCATCCATTTGAAAATGTCAGGAGGGCAATGGATATGTGAGCCTGGAATTCCTGGAAAAAATTGAAGATATAGATTTTAGGGTTATTAGGAAACAAAAGTCTCTAAATCCATCATACTAGGGAAGATTCTCTGTGGTTTGTAGCCACAGCAGAACATTTCACCCAGGATATAATTCTAGGTTACTTCAACCTTTAGAAACTCAGAGGAAAAAGTAGAGTGAGAAAAGTAGCAAGAGAAGGGTTAGCCACTGAGGTGGGGGGAAACAAAAAAGAAAAGTGTGTAACTCCCATAGCACAAAAGTTGATAACAAAAATCAACAAATGGGACTTACTTAAACTGAAAAGTTTTCTCTCAGCAAGAGAAACAATAAAAGAGGTAAATAGGGAGCCTACATCATGGGAACAAATTTTTACTCCTCACACTTCAGATAGAGCCCTAATATCCAGAGTATACAAAGAACTCAAAAAATTAAACAATAAGAAAACAAATAACCCAATCAACAAATGGGCCAAAGACCTGAACAGACACTTCTCAGAGGAGGACATACAATCAATCAACAAGTACATGAAAAAATGCTCACCATCTCTAGCAGTCAGAGAAATGCAAATCAAAACCACCCTAAGATACCATCTCACTCCAGTAAGATTGGCAGCCACTATGAAGTCAAACAACAACAAGTGCTGGAGAGGATGTGGGGAAAAGGGTACTCTTGTACATTGCTGGTGGGACTGCAAACTGGTGCGGCCAATCTGGAAATCAGTATGGAGATTCCTGGGAAAGCTGGGAATGGAACCACCATTTGACCCAGCTATTGCCCTTCTTGGACTTTTCCCTGAAGACCTTAAAAGAGCGTACTACAGGGATACTGCTACATCGATGTTCATAGCAGCACAATTCACAATTGCTAGACTGTGGAACCAACCCAGATGCCCTTCAATAGATGAATGGATAAAAAAAATGTGGCATTTATACACCATGGAGTATTACGCAGCACTAAAAAATGACAAAATCATGGAATTTGCAGGGAAATGGATGGCACTAGAGCAGATTATGCTTAGTGAAGCTAGCCAATCCCTAAAAAACAAATACCAAATGTCTTCTTTGATATAATGAGAGCAACTAAGAACAGAGCAGGGAGGAAGAGCAGGAAGAAAAGATTAACATTAAACAGATACATGAGGTGGGATGGAAAGGGAGAGAAAAGGGAAATTGCATGGTAATGGAGGGAGACCCTCATTGTTATACAAAATTACATATAAGAGGTTGTGAGGGGAATGGGAAAATAAACAAGGAGAGAAATGAATTACAGTAGATGGGGTAGAGAGAGAAGATGGGAGGGGAGGGGAGGGGGGATAGTAGAGGATAGGAAAGGTAGCAGAATACAACAGTTACTAATAGGGCATTATGTAAAAATGTGGATGTGTAACCGATGTGATTCTGCAATCTGTATTTGGGGTAAAATTGGGAGTTCATAACCAACTTGAATCTAATGTATGAAATATGATATGTCAAGAGCTTTATAATGTTTTTAACAACCAATAAAAAAAAAAAATTTAAAAAAAAAAAAAAGAAAAGTGTGTAACTCATGGCCGTCAGAGGACAGGGTTTCAACAGGGAGGTAGGATTATATGTTTCCAATGCTATTGAGAGGTCCGCATGGTTAAAGAGAAGGCATATCTGGGTGTGTCAACATGGTTAATCACTGAAAAATGCTATTCAGGGAAGCAGAGATGCAAGAAACCTGATTGATGTGGGCTGAGCGGAAACTGTGAGGTGAGAAAGTAGAGACATCACATGACTCTCCAGAAGATATGGACACTGGGAGCTCTATTTGATTGCGTTCCATGTCTTTTCTCTACCATTAGCTCCTGATCCCCCACTTTCGCTATACCATGGAGATCAACATCCTGGCCCGGAACAATCTTGTCTCTGAATATGGAATTTTTGATCTGGTATGGAAAGGGATGGATGAAGAGGGAGGAGGGTTCGATGTTGGAAGGATCCCAAGGTATGTATCCCTCTTTCATTGTTCCCCCATAATCTGCTTTCTCTACCAAAGGCCTCTCCCTAATCTGAATCATACCTGAAGAGTCTTCTGGTCCTAAATCTCCCTCGCTTTTTCACCTGGTTTGGCTAATGCTAGGTTTGTCCTCAGGTGGTGAGTACAGGTAGTGGAGGCCATGTGGACATTCTCCAGAGAGCCACAGCTTGTTTGACTTATCGTTCCTTCTGCCCTCCTGATGACCTGGCTGACCGTGGGCTCCTGGATGTGAAATCTTCTCTCTATGGCCAAGATGCCCTCAGGCTGTGGGAAATCATCAGCAGGTGAGGGTGATATAGAGAGTGATAGAACGAGGGGGACCACAGGTACAGAAGGTCCTACGTTGGCTGGCTGAGTCACAACAACCTTTTCCATGGGGAACAGGTATGTGCATGGGATGGTGGGACTCTTCTATAAGAGTGATAAAGCCGTGAAGCAAGATTGAGAGCTGCAGGCCTGGTGCAGGGAGATCACTGAAACTGGACTGCAGGGTGCCCAGGACCGGGGGTAAGGCCTGGATCCTCCCCAGTAACCTGTGTCAACACCCACCCACCTGTCAAC